GAATTAGAGCGGAGACTGAGAGCCAGGCCTTCTCCACCAACATCAGTGTGTGACCTCACCAATGCGCTTTTGGAAGAATGGTCAAAAATTAAACACTATCAACACTCTCCTCAACCTTGTGGACAGAGGAGGACAGGATTGAACTCTGGGTTAGGAATGGGATGGCACTTCAGTTCATAGTAGTAGAGTCAAGGCAGGTGAGCCAATACTTTTGGTAATATAGTGTATCATTAGTGTGACGTCACTCACCATGTTCTGATGCTCGGGATGGTCGGAGTTTGTCACAAACTGGTAAATTTTTATTTCTAAGTAAAAATTAAAACAGACAAGAGACAAGAGGAACAGCCTACGAGCGCACGCACACACACAAACACACACACACCAAAATAGTTAGAGTGAAGAATTATTGAAATGTTTTTTAAGGACAAAGGTGTACTACTTCTCACATATACTGCAGTAGACTGAAGGTGATGTTGTTGTTGTTGTTGTTGTTGTTACCTGGCTCTGGAGGAGCGTTGAGTGGCAGTAAGCAGGTAAGAGATAAAGAGAGCAGCAGCGTTGTAGCAACAGGACGTGATGCTGTGGGATTCGGTCAACAGAAAACTGTGCAAAAAGGACACTCTGTTAAAGAGCTCGGAGAGCGCCACCTGCTGCTCTTTGGAGGCAGCACTGAGCTCCGAGAAGACACTACGCAGGCCTTAAGGGACATATTACAAAGACACAGTGTTATTTGATGTAGATGGGTACTTTGACACAGTATTTTGAGCTGCATAATATTTACCCTGTGTCGAGTCTTTAAGGGTGACTTTCAGCTCCTCTCCATTGCTAAGGATTTCCTGTTGTGCTTGCAAGGCGACACTCTGGGCATCAATCAGATCCTCGGCCATCTGTCTGGTGGACTGAAGTTGCTCGGCCACGCCGGCAGAAGTTTCCGTTAACCTGTTCACACAAAAAGACACACACACAAATGCTGTATATACAATTTGTTTCCAAATTGGTCACGATCCGAAACCGTTTTGCTCATTAGAAATAATGTTAATAATTTCCAAATAAATAACTAAAACTGGGGTTGTTTTTTTTTTCTCCTCCTTCCATTATTTGTGGTCTTTGCAGACATTTGGCAACGTCAGTTGTTCTGACAGCTTCTTTGTTCTCAATCATGGCGCTAATGGTCGATTTGGCCATACCATACTCTTTGGCCGGGTCGGTGACTCGTACAGCGTGTTCATGCTTTGCATTATTTTTCTTGATATCTATTTTTTTTTTCCTGCACCAGTAGTGGGTGAACTGGGTTACATAGAATTGAACTGAAACTGAAGCACAGCCAGCAGCTGGATGGCAAAAACAGTGCTAGTAGTACCTCAAAAGTAATTGGTATATATATATAAAAGTATAAAAGTTGAGTTGAAACGAAATGTTTTGAGTGAGTAAAAAAAAAAAAGGGTTAAATGGCTTGGCTTTACTGGCAGAGGGGTACAGTGAACATCAGGTTGCTTCCATCCTTCAAATCTCTAAGAAGGCGGTTTAAAAAAAAAAAAAAGAAGGTCAAGCAGCAGACATTGGGGACAACAAGGACAGAGTGAGAAAAGGAACCACAAACTCATTCGAATGTCACTCAGAAACCGTCAAGTGACCTACAAAAAGAATGGCAAATGGCAGCTGGGGTGAAGTGCATGGCGAGTACCGTTCATAACAGGCTCCTCGGGGCAGGGTTTAAGTTATGTAAAGCTAGAAAAAAAAAAAAGCCCTTCATCAATGAGAAGCAAAGAAGAGCCATAAGGATTTGACCATAGAGGACTGGAGTATGGTCATCTTCTCTGATGAGTCCATTTTTTTTAGCTTTGGCTAACACCTAGCAGTCTAATGGTTAGACAAAGACCTGGAGAGGCCTACAAGCGACACTGTCTCGCACCCACTGTGAAATGTGATGGAGGAGCAGTGATGATCTGGGGATGCCGGAATTGGGCAGATTTGTCTTTGCAAAGAAGGCATGAGCCAAGGCATGAACAAGGATTTTTTTTTATCCTTGAAAAAAAAAAAAAAAAACTTGCTTCCTTCTGCTCTGACAGTGTCCTCCAACTCAAAGGACAGCCACACAGCTAGGTCAGTCGAGGTAAGTAAAGTTGGAACACCTGTAGGCATTAGTAGCACCAGCTTTCTAGGCTGATTCAACCTCCATTTCTGCAGAACAGCTTTAAATCGTTAACCCACTTCATGTTCTCCGAAAATGGCTTTTTGTATAATTCTGAAATGTACATTAATTTTTCAGTTTCTGGAAACCAAACCTTTTTTTTTTTTTTTTTTTTTTTTTAAACCTCGGGCTGTTCAGTACTTACCTTCGTACCATTTCGAGCTATTCATTGGGTTTGCACAACCTGAATTGCAATAAAGAATTCATTTTGTTATTTACCTGTAAATGGTATCCTCGGCATTGTTTTGCCAAGCCTCGGACTGCAGAAAGTGACAAATGGAGTGCGTGTGTGTGAAAAACTCAGTATAGGTGTTGAAAGCAACAGCATCCATTGCCGCTGTACACCTGCTGATCTCAGAACTGTCTGGGCACAGTGAGAATTCCCTGCCGGAGCTGAGAAAGGAGCAACACAGAGTGGTGATTCATGGGTTATATTTGCTCGTAGATACATGGGATTTGCTGGTCTACTGCTGCTGCATGTTTCACTCAATTTGTCTCAATGAGTTAAATATGTGAACTAAGGCTTTTAAACAGAGAGTTCGGGAAACAGGGCACTATGGTATTGCAGTATTGTGAATTTCATTTTTTTTTTAAATGGCGGTAAAAAATGTGGTAAAAAATGGTGGTAAAAAATATATATTTTTTTTTAAATTAATAGTTAAAATAGCTTGCCTCTTTACAAGTAAGTAACACACAGCGCATCTTTTCCCTACGTGTTCGTTACCTTCTCAGGTGACAGTACGTGAACCTCAAAGCGATCCGAGCCTGATTTTCTGACGTCATCTCCTGGCATCCCGTATCCAGGTGTTTTAGAGCGCTTGCCCAGCACTCTCCATACCCGCTGTGGGTAGCCAAGCTGTGCACGCGCATGAGCTGCAGCCTACCACGCTCCGAGTCCAGGCCAGAACGAGATCCGTAGCCGGTTACAGAAGCGAAGAAACGTTGGCTACCGAGTCCGAGTATCAGTAGCAGGACCATCGTTGACGGCGTCGCCATGTTCGCACGTCAGCGGCTAAGCCAATCAGAAAGCATTTGAGCAGGTCAGCGATGACGTTTTTAATTGCACACTACACGTGCCACGTCAGGTGAATTCTACCTATCGGTCATAAGTGAATTTCAGGTGAATTCTACCTATCGGTCATAAATGAATTGCATCCTGGATGTATATATATGACATTCGTTGTATTAAAAGTTAATATATATATATATAATTTCTTAACTTATTCAGCAGGGGTATGCAGAGTTTAGCGTATGCGAGTGGATTGTCTTTTGTGCGCGTGCGCAGTAAGCAAAACACAAATTGACGGGGGATATAATCTAATAGGACACCGACCAGCTACCCCCGTTGCATTTTATTAATGTCTACATACACTAGTTTATTTTATTGCTTCATTCTCAGCAACGTATAAATGTATTTTAGGATTGAACTTGTTCTTGCGATTGCGATTGATGAGGTTTAAGGGTGGCAGCAGAGCTTCTATTTCGAACGCTTGTTCCAAATAACAATAAATAGTGGTTACTAATTTACAAATTTGATTTGATTTTAAATTTGGTATCCTGTTGCAGAAAATTTAACCTGAAGAAGTTCGAGACATTTTCGTTGACAAAGCCAGCGGTTAGCAGAATATCACTTCTTAGCTTAGCTGTTTTCAAAAAATTATCAGAAATAAATCATGTGATTTGACAGAAATACATAGTAAGGCACTAGATCAAAATCCAATCAGTGGCTGACCAACACCTCATTATTACCTTATAAGGTCAGGGAATAAAGGTACAGGTGTGGGATTTTTTGTTTTGTTTTTGTGAAACAGAGACACATCAGAAACACATCAGAGACACAAATGCTTTAGTTAAAAAGAAAAAATAAGAAACAGTAAAAACTAGTAGCGTCTACAGCGACAGTGTATTATTGAGCAGAATATTAATCTTCATCATACGCCATCGTCGTCATCATCGTAATTGTTGTCTTTACTACAGTAGGTCTAAAAACACAACATGGCTGCCGGCAAGACGCACAAGATTATAGGCACTAAACTCTGTAACATGCAACATGGTGGCTGTCACTGAGTCCAGGATCAAGTCCTTTTAAAGAGGGACGTTTAAGGTGGCGGCAGGTGGAGCAACGCATATGCAGAGGTGAGTTGTCTCAGTCTGAGATGTACTGTCAATAGGCAAATGTACAAAAACTACACAAAATCAGAAAGGAACAATCGAGGTTTGTTGGTCAAACCTTCGAACACTCAAGGACATACACTAATGCGTACTGTTCATTCAATCCATAAAGACGCCTTTGCTGTCTCGACCTTTGATTGTGTGCACGTGAGCTATCAGTAAGACATACCGTATGACCATCATCCACATCCTGCGTTAGTTATACACATAAGCTCCTGTATTGTATGTTAAAGAATTTTCATGTATTCCGAGTCTCAGTGTGTTTCCGTGATAGGCTTTTTCTACATTCAGTCATGAAGCTCGAGTAGTTTCATACAAAGCATCTGCATCTCAAGTGCAGTACTCAAAAAGAATATAGTGTGGTATCCTTGATTTTTGTTATTTAACAGAAAAACAAATCATAACCTGTGACATTGTCGGCGATTAATCTCAATATATAATCTCTCTTGCCACACTGAAATAATTCTGTAGTGAGACAAAATTTTAGCAGTAGGGCTTTCACACTGAAATAATTCTGTAGTGAGACACCGAGAGTATTCGAAATTTTAGCAGTAGGGCTTTAAAAAAAATGAGTTGTCCTTGAATAAACCATCCACCAAGTATCTGGTGGTGGGATCTAAACTTGCTTGAAACCTTCAAATCCTTGCTTTTCGCCTATGGAGGTTCATGGTGACACACAGTCCTGTGGTGCATCTGGGCATTAGTCACACACCTTGAGAACATTGGTGTTTCTACATCCTCTGTAAATGTCAATGTATTTTCCGTTAGTATGTTAAACCTACTCTGTGGTCTCATCATATCGCTATTTAATATATTATTTTCTAAAACTCGTCTTTCGCCAACGGTAAAACCTCAATCAGATCAACCTCTGCATATGTGCATCTCCTTTTATTGTCTGCAGGATCACTAAACAACATGCGGACTGATGAGTGAAGTGCAAACAGTTCCAGATGTTAAAGATATACGTGCTATGTGGTTGAAATAATAAAGACTCCTGTAAAAGAAAATACAGTTTTGTTGTTAAAAAAAAAAAAAAACTTACATTGAAAACAAACTATCAAAACAAATGAGGACTGCTACTATAAAAAATTTATGCTGGAAGAACTAAAAACTGAAAATTAGGAACGTGTTGGTTTTTTTTTTTTTTTTGTACACATACCTTATCAGTTTCAGTGCGAATCAAAATAATCAACAGTTCATCGTATATATGTTTTTGACAAGTAATCACAACGAGTTGAGGCTCATTTATGCTGTGTTCACAAACAGTGGAACATCCAAGAATGTTCAAAGAATGCAAATTTACATTCTCTTACACAAGACGGTTGTGCAAAGTCAGTCTGCATCTTACCATAACAGAGATGTAGGCAGGAAATTGCATTGGGGTTTAGTATCTTTCATTGAGTGAGAGATTTAACACAAAAGGCCATTTTTGATATATCCTATTCAGTAATGCCCTATATCTCTGACTGTCAGGACTGACGTCCTCTGACTTTTTCATCTGGCAAAACTGCAGTTTTTGACTGAAATTCCCATTCTCTTTTGCTCTCCTGGTTCTGTATGAATGCTGTTAATTTTGGTTTGTTGTTTCCCATGCATCGTTTAATGTCTGGAATATTCAATTATATTATAAAAAAAAAAATGTACTTATGAAATTGCCTTTACATGATTACTATTAATATAGTTCATGGGAGTCCTAGGTTGCAGACACCAACCAAATAAAGGCAGAGTTTAGCCTAAAGGGTCCACCCTGCTCGTATGTAAGGTTCAGCATAAATGAGCCATTACAGATCAGAGTTAGATCATTGATGTGTTATGTCAGGACCACTACTTGTGAGGGACAAATTGGAAGTGACTGGATAACAATATTTCCCTGGCACCTTGATTAGTTTTTGTTTGTTTTATTATTAATATGCAAAGAACAAAAAAAAAAAAAAAAACAATGTAAGATTTTTAGAAACCAGTTTAACAATCGCGCTATGTTACCTAGTCTTTAAGTCACAGACTGTTTTTTTTTTTTTTTTTTTTTTTACCAAGGGACAGTCAGTCAATAGAGGGACATTTTAGGGGAATAGCTCAGTCAAACGATAAATAAATGACTGTGAATCTATAATATTATCAGTTTAAAGCAGTATAACAAAGACATAACAATAAACTATCAAAATACCAAATAAAAAATAAACAACAGGTTATATTCTGGAAGAAACTTTTTGTTCAGAGTAATGTGTTGTTAAGCAATAGTTTTTCACTTTCGTACTTCCCCTCCATCTGCACGGAGCTACGGGACGCAACAGCTGCCTTTTAATTCTTCATTTATATATATATATATATATGTGTGTGTGTGTATATATATGTATATATATATATGTATACATATACTGTATATATATACACACACAGGTGCAGCTCAAAAAATTAGAATATGGTGTAAAAATTCAATATTTTTTCAATCTTATCAAAAAGTGAAACTCGTGTATATATATATATATTTATTACTGTCCACATAGAGTGAAAATAATTTTTGTTTAGTAATCTTGATGATTATTGCTGACAGGTAATGAAAATCCCAATGTCAGGGTCTTAGGAAATCAAAATATTACATAAGATCACTTTTAAAAAAAAGTTATTTTAACGACAATTCATGTCTATGCACTCGGTACTTAACTGGGCCTCCATTTGTCTGAATCACTGCAGTAATGCAGCACGGCATGGAGGTGATCAGACTGTGGCACTGCTGAGGTGTAATGGAAGACCAGGTTGCTTTGATAGCGGCCTTCCGATCATCTGCATTGTTGGGTCTGGTGTTTTTCCATCTTCCTCTTGAAAAAAAGCCCATTTTGTAGTTTGGGTCTTGTGGTTTGAATTTTGCTGGCACAGAAACTCCATGGTCATTGAACCGGTTTTTGGTACCTTTGCCTTTACGCTGGCCCTTAAGCAACATGGATTCTGTGCCTCTCCACTTCGTCCAGACTCTGGGACCTTGATTTCCAAATGACATGCAAAATTTTCCAAGTCTTCTTCCCCAGCCCAGGGAAGACGCTTCTAACATCATCACCAGGTTAGGAGTGGCTTGACTTGAAGAATGGTGACATTTGTAGGAAATTTATAGGAGTCATCGGTGCATAGTGGCTCTTGATATGCTAACTCCAGCCTCATCCTTCTTAAATGGATTTTGCTTGACAGTCCTCTCAATGCTGCGGTTATCCCTGTTGCTGGTGCACCTTTTCCTTCCAGACCTTTTCCTTCCACCCAACGCTCTATGATTATACTTGGATACAGCACTCCGAACATCTAGCTTCTTTAGCAATGACTGCAGTGTCAGTGACTTTATATTCAAATTTTCAGACACCGAGTTTGGGGTTTTCATTATCTGTAAGCCGTGATGATCAAAATTAGAAAGAATAAAAGCTTGAAATATTGCATTCAATGTGTAATAAATATATATATATAAAAACCCAAGTTTCACTTTCTGAAATGATTGACAAAAAAATATTAAACTTTTTTTCCATATTCTAATTTTTTGATGTTTATCTATACATACATATATGTATATATGTATCTATGTGTGTATATATATCTATATATTTGTAAATACATATACATACATACATACGTACATATATGTATATACATATATATATATATATACACAATATATATATTTAATATATACATACAACTCTGTCTCTGGTCTGTTTTGGTTCTATGATCTAAAAAATTACACACACAGTATTCCAGACGGTCACACAGAGCACTATAACGGTCCAAAAAAATCATGTGTGACATTACATATTCCAACCTAAAAACAGTGCAAAACTGCCATTAAGCATGGTACCATTTCTCTGGCAGGACCAGTCAGTCTATGGATCCTTCAGCCCAAGATTTGTCCCGCACAGTCAGCTGACTCTTTCACTGACGGCGGTCCGTGACTCTACAGTTTCCTCTCGACTAGGACATGGGACTGCAGACTGCGGGACAATGTCTTGGAGCTCTCTGCCATCACCTGCTGCCCCTGACCGGAGCCGGGACTGATCATCTGATCCTGTGACAACTTCAGCACCCACTCCAGCCACAGTGGTAGGCCCAGCGGGTGCAGAGCCAGGAGATCTGGAAGTGCTGTTCAGTTCTTTGCTGCCTGCTGAAAAAGATGTCTCTCCTCTTCCTTCTGCAGTAACATCTTCCACACAGACCTCTTGGCCAGGCGTCACACTAGTTCCCCCTGGTCTTGTAGTGCTTAGATCTTGAGGCTGTTCGCTCTGGGTCACTTGAGAAAGAACAACATTTGTCCTTCCCATGTTGCGTGGCTGCTGTTGGTTGGGTGTAAGATGCTGCATATGAGGTCTGGCAAGCTGAGGTTGGGGCTGGGGCTGAATTTGTGGTTGCGATTGGGTCTGCAACTGGGAATGATCTTGACAGGGCTGGGAGACAGAATGCCTGGGTTGAAGTCTGTACTGGGTTTGATGTTGATCTTGTAAAAGGTACCTTGTGGGCAGCTGAGGCTGAACTTGGTGTCTTGGCTGCAGGTGAGGTTGAGTTTGGGTAGGAGATCTTGAAAGGGGTTGAGTTTGGATGGAGTTTCTAGGCTGCGTTTGCGTTTGGGATGGCATTCTAGATTGGGAATGAGTTTGAGGATGAAGTGGTGATCTAGACTGGTACTGATGTTGACTTTGGCCTATATTCCTTGACAGGGTTTGAAGTTGCGTAGGGGTTCTGGTTTGCTGTTGAGGTTGTGTTTGATTGGGTATTCGAGACTGCGTGCGAGACTGAGGTTGGACTTGATCTCTTGATTGCGTTTGAGGCTGGGTTTCAACTGGTGTTCTGGACTGGCATTGGGTTTGGTCGTGGGTTTTGGACCGGTGTTGATACTGACTGTGGGTTACAGTTTTGGACTGGGATTGAGTTGGACTTTGACCTGGTGTTCTGGATTGGGATTGAGTTGAAATTTGACCTGGTATTCTGGATTGGGATTGAGTTAAAATTTGACTTGGTGTTCTGGATTGGGATTGAGTTAAAATTTGACTTGGTGTTCTGGATTGTGATAGGGTTGGACTTTGACCTGGGGTTCTACACTGCGGTTGAGATTGCGTTTGAGTGGCATTTCTTGGCTGGGGTTCAGTTTGGTCAGGGGATCTGCATTGTGGTTGGGATTGACTTTGGGCCATGATTCTTGCATTATGTTGTGTTTGAAGTTGGCATGTGGTTCTTGACAGGGTTTGAAGTTGAGTTTGAAATACAGTTCTAGACTGTGGTGGAGTTTGGGTGGGAGTTGTAGACTGATGATGTGACTGACTGTGGGGTATGCTTCTGGACTGGGATTCAGGTTGAGTATGTGAGGTTATTTGGGGCAGAATAAGAGGTTGTGTTTGAGATGGAGTTCTGGACTGGGGTTGTGCCTGAAATTGTACTTGGGTTCTGGATTGGGATTGAGTGTGGGTGGGCGTTCTAGATTGTGGTTGTGTTTGAGACTGCAGTGATTCTTGGGACTCGACTTGAGATTGTTGTCTAAACTGGGTCTGGTAGTGAGAAGTGTTTTTGGGAAGGGCTGGAGGATGGGGAGCTGTAGGGGACTGACTTGGTTGTTTATGACACAATTCAAGTGGATGAACAAGCAAACTTGAAGGTGACTGTGAGGGGGGTGAATGAGCTGGGGTATGTGGAGCCTGATGGGTTTCCTCCTGACCTGATGAACTGCCAGACTGAGACCGTGCCTTTTGAGAAGGAGTCTGGAAGGGCATTTGAAGTAAATGCTGCTGGGGCACAACACGGCAGGTAGTCGTAGAGTGGGATACAGGTTGAGAAGACCAGCAAGCGAACTGCGTCTTGGATTGTTGTCGGGAACGCGATTGAGGAGATGGATGTTGAGGAGTCAATGACTGACTGGACTTGGACTGTGATCGAAAAAGAGCTTGCTGTGAATGCTGGGATTGTTGGTTGGTGGTTGCCGGTATAACCTGGGACTCAGTTTCTAGTGTGGACTGGCTGAATGTTGTTGGTGATCCAGCTGCTGAACGAGTAGAAGAAGAAGAAGGTGTAGGGGCAGGAGGTTCATCCAGTGTGGAGACAGAAGACTCTTGGTGGCGATGATGGTGGTGGTGGTGGTGCTTGCGAGGAGGGCGATCCTTTCTTTTGTGGCTTTTGGGAGGGCTCACACTACAGCTGCTGCTAATTCTACTCCTTCCTTCTTCTTTGTCACCTACATCTTCACCCACCTCCGCCCCCTTGCCTTTGCCCTCTCGTGCTGCTGTCTTCTCATTGTGCTTTTTTCCTTTATGTGACTTGTTTCCTTGTGTTTGGCTTTCCTCTGGAGTGGCAGCATGGCTTTGGGTCTGCTGTAACGACATGGTCTGAAGCTCTGAAGTATGAGTATATTTTTTTTCCTCTACCTCTATTGTATCCCCTTTCTTTATGTCTTCAGCTGTAGCCACTTGACTCTGGACACTTTCCGTTTCCTCCACTGTTTCTCTGGTTTTGCGTTTCTTAATTGGCAATGCCTTTTCCTGTACAACAGGTTTAATGGAAGAATCTTTGGCTGCTCTCCGTTTGGCATCAGCAGCTAAGAGGGCCGCCGCGTAGCTCCCAGTTGTAGAGCTACAAGACGTTGATGCAGAGGAGGTTAATGTGGTCATGGCTGCTGTTGAAGCTGCTGCAGCTGAAGAAGGTTTTCTGCCCCGTTTCTTGGGGGCAGTCTGTAATGGAGGTGGAATTGCCTCTTCCAATTTCCTCTTTCTCCCTGGTCGGCCCTTGGTCACAGGGGAAGAAGACACTGCCTAGAAGGGCACACCAACAATAGCATTATCAGAAAGGTTTGTCCATTGTAAAACCTACAAAAGTTACTTTAAAAAGTTAGGCTGATGTTAGTGCTGCATGATTTAAAAAAACAAAAAAACATTTGATTGAGTTTGAGATCTGTTTACTCAGTTTGGTCATTTTACAGAACTTCCAGATGAAGACGTTCATGACTATTTGAAAACAATAGGAAAGGTTTGTCAAATTTGTTTTTATATGTATTATTTACATATATATTTACCCTTTACGAACCTCCCCCAAACTGTATTCCCATCTGTGTCAGTCTTTGTTTGGGCTTCATAACTGAAGCCTGAGAAGATAATCAGAGCGTTTAGGAAGCATCGTGGGGCGTTAAATTAGGGTAAACCTTCACCAAATACAAGAGCACAAACTTTACCGCAATGTACTATATAGAGCACAAACTTTACAGCAATGTACTACATGAGTGGCGGACAGGCAAAGGGAGATGCTAAGAGATGCTACGATGGATGAGCCAATCAACATGAGGAACACAATGCTGTGTTTGAGCTCCTGTAGGTAAACAAAGTTAGCAGCAATTACTTTTAGTTTATTTTTTGCTATATTTTTACTGTTAATTTTTTTTAAGTTAGAAAATGTTTAACACAAAAATAATACAAATATCGGAAATTACAGCGATATAGCGAAACTATTAAAAAAAAAAAATCAACAATGTACTGATGCAGCGTAAGGAGAACCACGATATAGAGAGAACACTGTATGCAATGAATTGTGTGTATATATATATATATGTATATATATATATACAAATATATATATGTATATATATATAGATAAACATATATACATTTGTACGTAACTATATGCACATATATGTATATATGCATATTTAGGTTCTCTCTCTCGCTCGCTCTCTCTCCATATAGATATATATTAGAGAAAATATATACATATGCAGTATAGACAGAAAACATATATACACATATTTATACTGTATATATACTGTATATATATATATATAAACATATATATGCATATATACTGGTCAAGAAAACTAGACTAGAATGGAGTGTGACATTAGGATAGCTTTAGGGACTTAAGGTCAGTTAAGGTCAAAATGTCAATGATCAGGACAAAGGATGAGGTTGATAATTGCTAGGGTTTTAAACTGTAGGTAAATTAATTGTATTCATTCATTCATTCATTCATTTTCATCCGCTTATCCGTTACCGGGTTACGGGGGCAGCAGTCGCCACCCAAATCACATTGCACCGTACCTAAACCTTCACTGGTCAAGAAAACTAGACTAGAATGGAGTGTGACATTAGGATAGCTTTAGGGACTTAAGGTCAGTTAAGGTCAAAATGTCAATGATCAGGACAAAGGATGAGGTTGATAATTGCTAGGGTTTTTAACTGTAGGTAAATCAATTAGCCTCTGGGCCAAAGCGCCACTAAATTAATTGTATTACTTCTCGTAATTCAAAACAGTTATAATTGTTATTCTTAAATGTTTATAAAATTTTAGCATCATCTTGAGCGGCGTAACGATCATTGAGACAACATCAGTAGCAGCTATAGTAATCTACATTTACAGCCTTTCTCTTTTTTTTTTTTTTCCAAAGTGAAAGTGAACTACTTGTCATTGTGACACAGCACACCACTGCACACAACGAAATATGACCTCTGCATTTTACCCATCACCGAAGTAAGCAGAGAGCAGTGTGCACAGTGCACGCTAAGTGGTAACTGGGTAGCTTGTGGATTCAAAACCTGAAACCTTCCGGACCCAAAGATGCTGCCTTAAACATCAAGCCATCAAGGCCTTAGACACGACTGCCCCCAAAAGAACTTCCACTCTGGTTATAAGAAGAAGATCATCGTTTTAATGAATTAACCTTTGAAGCAGATGATGTGGTGATAGTGGACGACTCTGCCTTGTTGAAGGGCATCTTGACTAGCAGTTTGCCCGGACTTTTTTCAACCACACGCTTCATGGCCACGCCCTCCGTAGCTTGTCGCAACTTTCCGCTTCCTGAACAGAAAGCATAGACAAAAACAAAAAGGACACTAGATAAAAAAAACTTTGTTGGACTTGTGTTGGGCCTGGTCAATAAATATTTTTCAGAGACCATTTACAAATGCTTATTATAGTGTTGGGTGGTGCTATTAATGAGTTGAATCCATTGATCCCCAAACTTTTTTTATGTAGCGTCCCCATCTGTGAATTATGTGACATAATAAACTATGAATTGCCTAGTGTCAGCCTTCCCACAAACATTAACTTACTCACAACTATTACTTTTAAACTACACTGAAAAACCAACTATTACTTTTAAACTACACTGAAATTTATTTTAAAATATTGTCAGTCCTACAAACCTATGAAATTCATATTTATATTAATTCATTTTGCCTTGGTGCTCCCCCCCCTTCAAAAGTTGATTACCAACTGCTAGTTGTGAGTCTGTTGTTTTACAGTAAGAAAGAAAATCTCTTTTTAGAATTTTTTAGGAAAGGAAAGTGAACTACTTGTCATTGTGACACAGCACATAGCACCTCACTGGTAACTTGGCAACTGGTGGACTCAAACCTGAAGCCTTCCGGATCCAAGCCCGCTTCCTTAACCACTAAGCCACCACTGCCCTGTGGTGAAGCAGTAGCAGTAGCACTTTAACACTCTCCTTCCTCTAGAAGAAGTCAAATGGGATTAAACCAAAAGTACCTTTAGGCCTCCCACGACCTCGTCCACAGGGTTTTACCACCTTTGGTTTTTTGGGGGGGCGCTTTTCACGGCGGGAGGGGCTCCCACGTCCAGTGACTGTGAAATCGAAATCATTGGGGTCAGTAGTCGTGTCTCCGACTTTCTGGAAGTAAGCGGTGAGCTCAACCTTTGAGCGAAAAGCTTTGCCCTCTGAGCTGAACAAAGGTAAACAAAAACAAACATATCAGTACTTTGACAGTATAACATTGTTTACTCGACAGAAACGGTGGAGGGCATCACTTTACTTTATCAGGTAGACGTCAAACTTTCCCGCGGAGCGCCCCGACTTTCTCTGCTTCAGTTTGCGAGTCCAGCCTTCAGGAAGTGTCGGATCGTCCCACAGAGGGCCACGATCACGTATGATGGAGCGGCGTTGCCTTGGAGAACCAGCAGACTCACTGCTTGGTGCTGAGGGCGGCTCAGAGGGTCCAGGCAAAGGGTCTAAGGGACCAGTTGCAGGCTCCACTAGCTGTAGGGGGAGGGAACAAAGCTTTTTTTTAATAACAATACAACATTTTAATCAAGTAGGAACATAGTGCTATACAAACTAAACATCAAACTGAACACTATGTAAAAGACTCTCTGAGAGGTCTTAAAATCTAAACTCTAGTAATAGAGCTCTGCCGAGGCATTAAATTAGGTAAATTAAGCTGACGCCTCACAGGCAGGATGTCACATGACTGGGTCAGGAAGCAGTATTCGTTTTAGAGCAACCCTTGAAATATATATGTATGTATGTATGTATATATGTTTGTATGTATAGATAGAACTTATATATATTATTTGTTTGTATGTATAGATAGAACTTATATTTATAATATATATATAGCATAGCATATTATATATTATTATATATATAGCACAAGAGCCATCCCAATATTTTGTGTTCTTTAAGTGTTTGTTTTATATCCCAATATTTTGTGTTCTTTAAGTGTTCGTTTTATTTATTTATTACTGTGCATGTGTGGATTTATGTGAGATGGAACAGGCAGCAAAAAGGAGGGTTTCCCCTGTTTGGCAGTAGTTTTACCTTATTTCTTCCAGCAAGATACAATAATAACTTTTAATCATGCAAGATGTATTTTATTTCACAGTATGAGGTGTCTGTTTTGTTGTAAGGATCTTGGCTACAAAAAACACATCCCATACATGCTGAGGCATTACAGGACCCAAGATGAGAACAAGGATGATTACTGCACTTGATTGAGCCATTTGTAAATGCAATAGTAAGATGAAATACGCTTACACTCTTCTGATAGTTATATTACATTAAACAATGTTTCATTAAGTCATTCGTGATACAGTTGTCATTAACTACCAATATATGTTTGTTTAATGTTGTTTTTTTTAGGAGATAAAAATGAAATGGACAAGGCCTTGGTTAATTTGATCATCCAGGACATTCTGCGTTTTAGCATTGTGGAATACAAAAGCTCCTGACAATAAATGGAGACCAAATACATAAAACACCAGAGAAAGCTAAACACCGTCAGCCTCACTTCAGACATGGTAAAATCTTCCCACATCAACATACTATTTATCTTCAGATGAGCTAATTCTGGTATAAGATTCACACCCCAAAACAACCTTTCATTTCTAACAAGGTGACAAGCCATGTCACAGGAACAACAAATATGATCTATTGTGCCAGGGAACTGCATCTATTTCAAAATATTTGGTCAGCCCAAACACATAATCTAATAGTTAAAAGGCCCTAGACCAGAACTAAGGTGAGTGGCATCATTTCACAAGCAGCACTGCAGCAAGGAGCATATAATGAGTCCTACCATAATTCGGTTTGCGAACAAGTCAACAATACCACGCATGCAGCAAGTGATCAAATCTAATGATTTTCATTGGTTTTGTGTATGAACTTGTACGCAAAATACTGTTGTAAAAGTTTGAATAACAATCATCTGGGGTTCAGGAACGGATTAATCCATTAACATTGATTCCTATGGAGAAAGTTGTTTCAGTTTTCGAACTTTTCGGTTCACAAACGGCCTTCAGAAACTAATTAAGTTCAAAAACCCAGGTTCCGCGGTGCCTTCAGAAACGAATTAAGTTCAAAAACCCAGGTTCCACGGCAATGAAATACTTATCCATTATCCAATACCATCAGGCTCCTAGATATTTGGAACAACCTATCAGATAAGTTTCATAAAAAAACTATGTGTAAGTGTACCTAAAAAAACAGATTCTGTCTTAATGGCAAAGAGTGGTCACACCATATATTGATTTGAATTTGATTTCTCTTCTGTACATTGCATATACAACTAAATACTAAAGCTTATTGCCACTTCCAGGCCATTAATGTTATCCTGTTTGTTATAATTTAAAAAATTCCGAACCATAATCATCCACCACAAACAATGTTTATAGTGGATTTCACCAGTGTTTACACTGGTGATGCCAGTGTTAGCACTCCGCAGTGCTAACAACATAGTGCTGGTGTTTACAACAGTAATACTAGTGTTTACACATACGTCAGCTGTTAGAGATTTAGAGCGCTAAGGAGGCCGCCTCATGAGACACCCATGGGAGCTGTCCTCTGGGAGCTTAGGAGGAGAATACAGGGGACCCACGTCATTGACAAAAAGAGAAAACTCAAAACTGTCCTCACGTTCACAGTTATAGGAAATGGATGAACTAACAGCACTGACATCAACGAGCATATTTGGAGTGTTGCATCTTGGTTTTCACAGAAACATGGATGAACTCTCACTCTGCATGAATGCTACTTCTGGCTTAAATCAGTTCACCAGGGGGTATCCATCAAACCCTTCTTTATTTTTGCCGGTGCTAGACTAGACTAGAATTGCTCAAGTTGAAAAATCATTGATCCCCAAACTTTAAACTAACTTTTTTGGTGGCGCTTTGGCCCAGAGGCAATGTCTCTGTCATTGGTGTGAAACCCCAGGAGATCACCTCCTGGGCAAGTTCAAATCCCAGTTAGGGTGGTTGGTACCTTCCAGTGGACTCACCACCTACAGGAAGGTTTAGGGGGGTTGGTACGGTGCAATGTGATTTGGGTGGAGACTGCTGCCCCCGCGACCCGGTAGCGGATAAGCGGATGAAAATGGATGGATGGACTTTCTTTTTTTGCTCAAGATAGTTAGTATGAAGGGATTAAAATATTAACAAAAAGAAATCACACAACGTACCATCACGACAGTCACAAGTCAACTACTGAGCGCACCAAATTCCCTGCAGCACAGATAGGCCAAGCGGGGCGTGTCATCCCGAATCATAGGAGTCGGGTGTGTGTCTTGTCCACCACCAAACCCCTGAGACTGACTCACTGACCCCCGGGGTTCGATCGAACCCAGGTTAAGAACCACTGCACCAGATACTGAGAGTGTCTACTCTTGGTTTACTCATGCGTCTCACTCTTGACTGCAAAGGTGTGGTGCTGCAGTTCTAACAAACAAGAGTCAGGATACAACACCGGACCAGTGAGCACTGATCCGCTGGCATTTTCTAACAAAACTCTCTATAACCAACATTAACTGCACTCTATGCACTCTACTGAGGAGCCCTCAGTTTTCAATAAACCCAGCTATTCTTCCGTCTTTTGTCTTCGGTCATTTCTTGTCTACGGGCGGAGATTGCATACAGGGGCAGTGTGGTCAAAAAGGCATCATGTTTCATTATATATATTCAAACTTTCATTAAATATATATATATACATGTATATACACATATATATGTATATACAGTGTATATATATACAGTATATATATACAGTATATATGTATATATATGTATACATACACATACATACACATATATATACATACATACATATATATACATACATACATATATATACATACATACATATATATACATACATACATATATATACATACATACATATATATACATACATACATATATATACATACATACATATATATACATACATACATATATGTATACTGTATATGTTAGGAATGCACCAAAATTAAAACTCTTGGCCGAAACTGAAAGAAATTATTATGCCAATTATTAGTACCATTGCATTTATGGCTATGACTGTGTACTAAATTTAAATAAAATCAAGGCACTGCATTTGCAGTTAATATTAATGTTTCAAAGAAAACAATAACAAAAAACTATGAAAATATTTAGTTAGCACATTCCAACAATGCACAATATCAAATACAATAATATTCAAAATAAAATGTTAAAATTGACCGCATTTATGTGTACATTATATGATAATGTACAGGCCTACTGGCCTGCTGAAAGACTGTAAAATTAAAGATGTTCTCTCATACACTCTCGTGCACGCTGCTTTATTCCCACGTCCAAGTGATGATCTTTATAACGCAGATCAAGTACAGTCGCGACAAAGTGCAGAAGATCTCAGTGAAACGTGTGCTAACAGACTCTATGAGTGTACTTTTCACTGTTTTCACTCCGTGATCCGTCTCAACCTCTTTGCTTAGAAGACGCTTTAGTGCTGCGATTTAAGGAACAACATCTGCTACAAATGCATCAGTAAAGACTTGTTTTTCCCGCAAAGAGGCTTTCCCTTCTCTCATATTCAGCATAGCGATAGGGATGTTTGGATTTCTGGTAATAAATTAAACCTGACGTGAAGAAGTTCTTTGCAGATGCACCCCCGTCTTGAAATTTCAGCATATCTTTTGCAAATCGCTTTCCGTGGGTCTTTCTCAGATGTACTGAAATACATCCACACTGACATGTTGGCACTTTCAGACTAGCCCGCGTTGGCCACTGTTATTGCTTGTGTCATCATAACTTCCTGTTTTGGCCGTTTTGTTTAGGTGAAAATGTTCGGTGGCTGAATATTCAGTGCATCCCTAATATATATGCTGTACTCCTGATCAAAATCTTAAGACCAGTCCAAAAATTGAAAAACATTTTGCACTGCTGGATCTTTAGAAGGTTCTAAGTATAGCTTCAAAATGCAAAAAGAAAACAACAATTGAACTGAAATAGGCTGTTCATCAGCATGATCAAAAGTTTAAGACCACAGCCTTTGAAAGCCAAAATCTGTGCACAAATGTGGATTCCCTATCATTTTCTGTCAAGTAATCACACTGTCAAGATCTCTTGATGGCAAATGCAAAAAAAGCTTACTGACTTTGAATGTGGTAGGATTGTTGAGCTGCATAAGCAAGGCCTCTCACAACGTGCCATCACTGCCGAGGTTGGACGCAGTAAGACGTGATACGACGAAATATCTAGTTACAAGTGCTCAATTGAGGTCTGGTATCCATTCAGTCATGGGGAAGCTGCAAGCTCTGATGCCAAAGCAGCTGCGGAGTTTGTCACAAACTTCAAGTGTTT